ATTGCATGACGATAAATTGAAATAGACTAAAACATATTGATTGAAAAAATAAATAAATATATAAATAAAAAAATCCAGAACGAATGACTATCCTTTGAAACAATTGTTTTTTTCACGTTTTATTTTCTACAAATTAAATTTAATCTTTCCATCTCATTTCGCCCTAATCAAGGCAACAAAGCCACTAAGAATCAAGGAATTTTTTTAAATCCTTGAAAAAAGAAAAAACATTATTAATATGATATAAACAATAACAGAACTGAATTAAGACAAATAGATAAAATACGTTGCATTTTTTTTTTTTTTAAAGATTCAAATTCACTTTATAAGAAGCTTTCAGGTGAGTTTTCTGAATTGAAAAACTTGTGAGACATGTGACTGTTTGCATAAAATATGCTTTTAACATCTAAAAATCTCAATCTAAAAATATAACCTAGCTGCCAATCTAGTACTTAAATTATATGAACGGTGTGTACCAAAAAAGAAAGCTCATCAGATCACTTACCATGAAAAATTTATAGAAACGGCACAGGGAAGGTATATTACGGTGTTGGGAAAGTGACCAGAGCCGAGATGCCATGTCAGAACCGTTAATATTGCAGATTCTCCATTGGATTTTTGCAAGAAGCTTTAAATCCATGGTATAAGCACCGGACTAGATGCAGCAGCAATATTCAATGCATGCAGTAGACTTATAAATATTTAAGATAGATTTTGACGAGAAACAGATGTCTAGCACGATACAGTGAACCTTCTTCCGTAGAAGCAGACCTAACAATTGATTCAATATAATCTTTTCAGTTCATGTCAGCGGAAAAACGTTAGTCTGAGAAATGCAAAGAATTACTTTTTTTGGAGATTATCATTGGCCATGCTGATGGAAAGTAAAAAAAAAAAATCAGATGATTAAAAATCATTTTCATTTTGGATGGATTAAAATTAACAAGCCATTCCTTGCCCTAGTTAATAATGGATTGAAAAGTCAATTTTAGATCAATTGCTATTTGATCCTATCACCTTTTCAAATTTTTTCCTATCATTAAGATTTTAATGTTGAAATGTCCATCCCCAGATAAATCAGTTGAGAAGTGATTATTCAGGAGTTTACTTCATGAAAATTAAAAATCATTCATTTTTAAAAACAACCTCATTATCATTAAAAATATCTAAAAAAGACAATTTCCACCTAACTTTCATTTTGTGACACATTATCGGTTTTTTTAAAAATCATTGAAATTTTATTTCGAACCTAAATAATTTCTTAGCTTGTCTGGAATGGTCAAAGCTTGTCTAAGCAGGTTCAATTTCTTTTTGGTTTTTATACTTTAATTACTTTTTAATTAAAAGTATTTGACACTGTTTAACAGATGTCAGTGCAATTCCTTTGGGGGATATATGTTTGAAAACATTCTTAATATTGAATTGTGATGAATGTCAAAATCTAATTGTTTAAAAAAAACCTTCTACTTTCTGAATTCCGAAAATTTCCCTTAATTTTCATATCAACTGGTAGCTCTTTTCAGACATGTTTCTTTTTCCCTTCCATTTTTATTCATTATATTTCATTCATACAAATCTCATTCCAGTTTAGATTTCTACCTCCTCCTTGTTCTTTCTTCGATATCATAGTGAACATCTGTTTTAAAGCCCTCATTCCTCATTACGTGTTTGCACAAAAAAAAAATCTAAAAATTCTAAGTATTTATGCATTTTTTTATTTTCTTTTCCTTATCAAAAATGAATCTTAATCTTGAAAGTCCAAAACAAATCTGGATCCATTGAATTTAAACCACACCTCTTTAAAAAAAAATATTGTTCATCCGGAAGTCTTTAATTATTGGACTTTTTTTAAAATCAGTTCACACAAATTTAAAAAACATTTTTCAGGTTTTTATTTTTTTTTTTTTTAATTGTAATTTTCCCATTTCTTAATATTTTTTATTATTTGTTCGATTCTTTCAACCTTTGCAATGCGCCTTCGCATTTTCCCTTTTTAAATTCAATTTCCGTTAAAACATTTCCCAATTTTTTTGATGGAAAATTTACCTGCTCAAGAGTATTATAAATTTACCTTTTTCCTTTTTAAATTGCAAAAAAAATGATTCAATTTTTTAAAACAACACAACCACATACACATATTTTATTCATTTTTTATATATAAAATATTCAGATTTAATATGCAATTATTTGATGTTCTCTTCTATAAATATTACATATTTCTCTCATAGTATACTTGATTCCTCTGTCTTTTCTTTTTAAACAGTTCAAATTAACTATCTTATTTTGTATCAGAAGATATTTGCTTTAATAATTTAAACGTATCATTAGGTCGGCATCTGATAATTTATTTTTCACTATCAAGTAAACGGTTAAATTTGAAAGTTTTACATAAAATAATATATTCATATCGCCCTTCCCGTTTGCGGAAAAGAGTTCTTTTAATTCCATTTCTTTGATAGCTATAATTCCAACTATTCAAAAGCAATGCAATGACAATCGATATCTTCAGATGCCTTGATGTATTCCCCATCCTTCTATTCAAAATCTCCTATTTGACGCCTTTTACTTCTTGAGAGTTGTCAAATGGTTGTAATGTTTGGATATATATATAAATATATATATATTATACTGACATAATTCAAATTATTTTTGTTATAATCCAGGCGTAGTCCTATTAACACAAACATGGGATTTCAAATTATAAACCAAGACACACAAAATGCTCATGTTTATTTTCATTAAACAGAAAATTTTCTTTCCAATTGGATTATTACTATCTTAATTTAATTATTTTCACATACGAATTTTAATTTTTTAAAACATAAACAATTTGAAAAAATCCTATTAAAATTAAATTGCAGGTTATTAGAAAAAAATTATAACTAAAAAAAATTTTGATTCCAACTAAATTGTCGACCCCATTTATAATTGGGATATATAAATATATTTTTATATAAAACAAACCATATATATATATATGCCGGCTTATATATTTCCGGATTATATATATATATATTTTAGATAAAACATCTTTATAAGGCTATAAAAATATATATGATTTTTCAAAATGGACGAAGTGATCCCTCACCCATTTCATATCCGACAGTTGATATATATATATATATATATATATTCAATTCACTACATGATATATATATATTCACCCAGCAGCGACACCAATATCTTATTTGATAGTTTATATTTTTCCTACATATATATAACCTATTACATGACATATATATATCATATGCGACACCATATATATATATATCATATATATATCCCTATCATATATAACTATATATATATATATATATATATATATATATATACATATAATATTGATATAAATACGCATCCCTGCAATAATATAAATAACCTACTATATGACTGCCCAGATATCATATATATTATATCCATCGATATGCAAACGCATATATAAAACGGAAACTAACTATAATAATTATTACAATGATATTCATTAGATTCCATGATATATCTATAATATTAATTTCTGTCCCTTTTTATAACCCTATATCCTTGAAATATTTCATCGAGTTTTGAAATTCAAACAAACAAATTGCACTGGACGGCCGTTTTCTTATATTTGGTTTCAATTCTTATATTTATTTACCATGCTTTATCATTTTTGAAATTATCTATTGTTAAATTGTCCAGTGTTTCTGCATTCTGTTGACGCCTAATCAAACTCGAAGTATTATTTTGGTACAATTATCAAATCCTCTAATAATTCTTGTATATATACGGATACCTTCGTTGGTTTGAAGCAAATTAAATATTGAGGTTAAACTGTTGGAATTTACAAGATTGAGTCTGAAGTTAATAGTTTGAATAATGGATTATAAAGAAGGTTTCGTGCAAAATATATCCAACAAATGGCATTGTAAGTTCAATTGATTTTTTATGTCAGCCTCTCCTAATTCGCAAAGTCATTTAATATAGTGAGCATAAGCCCCAATTGCATCAATTGTCCCTCAAGCAATTACCTTTTCTACGGAAGAGGAGGTTTTATTATTTTGGCGATAGAGGCCCCACAAATGGAACGTGCAGAGGAAGCACGAAATCAATTTTTTCCTTAGGTCCATTTGGCTCGATTCCCACTTTAAACCTCACCATTATCCTGGGTGCCGATAAACTCAATCCAAGCAACATTCAGTCCCAAAATAAGGAGGTTTTGAGAAGATTCACGAATTAAAGACTTAATAGAAAAAATATTCCCAATAAAAATCATTTGTAACAAGCCGGGGTTTTAGAACCAGTTGCTCTAAATGCCACATCTATGGGTAAATCACGAAATAATATAAATTTGGGTCAAAAGATACAACAAATGTTTTAAAATAAGATTTTAATATCAGAAATTGTCTTTGGAAAAATAAAAAGAAATATGTTTTTTTTTTGAAAAAAATGTTTACAAAATATATTATTACCATAAAAACATTTTAAAAATATATTACCAGCATTATATATATTTTTTTTTAAATATTACCAGCTATACATTTTGAAAAAATATTACAAGCGATACATTTTTTAAGAAAAAGTATTACTGGAAATAGATTTTTGAAGGAAAAAATTACCAGCAATACTTTTGAAAATATATATATATATTACCAGCAATAAAAATTTTGTCGGCATTAAATAATCCATTGAGGTTGATATGTCGTAAAACAAACAAACAAACAAATCTTCCGACGAGTGGCTGCTTTGTGGAAGAGATTCTCTACATATAATACATATATATATTTAATATTAAATAAAAATTTGTTTATGATTCCCGTTTTATAGCCTATAATCTGACAGTTTTTTTATAACCATAATGAATCTCATTCAATATCTCTACCTTGAGTGGATGTTGGGTTTTGTATTGGGAGAAACAATTGTGTAAAAAATAAAATAAAAAAATAAATGACCATTCAATGAATTAATATATATATAACTTATAACGCTATATATATATAGGTATTAATTCAATTTGTTTTCAGGCCCAAGTTGGTCGAACGACTATCATTTCGAACTTCTTGGTTTACTTAAAACATCAAAAAAATGACTTGATTGTATAATATACAACGGAATTTTTCAAATATCAGGATTTTAATCAAGAATTGATGCAGATGAAAAGAATTTACTACAACACATGTGGACAATTACTTATTTCTTTTTATTTTATTTTTAACTTACTGAACACATTTACTTTTCAGCAAATGACTGAAATTGAAATATTGTTGGACTGATTAAATTTTTTCTTCCATTTTTCGGCAGAATACAGTGGCCTCTCTTCTTTTTGTCGGTTGGACGAGTCCATATTAACATTTTCGCTTGAATGTTTTGTTTTTCTTTATTTTTTGATTATTTATTTTTCCAAAAAAACATTTTGGGCGCCAACTTTAATTTGTTATTAATCTAATGGTTTCATTATCGGGTGTAATGAGTTGATCCTTACTTGTTCATTTATGTCCCAAATTGTTTCACTGGTATAAAAGATGAGTTCTTTATTTGCTATTGTTATATTGTTAAAAGGATTGATCCCTTTATGAATCGGAATCCTAAGAGTAGGATAGTGTTGTAGAGTAGTTTTCACAGTGGAGGCTTGTATTTCACTAAGTCGGTCCTAAATTAGGTTCGACGTACAAAACGTTAGGAACTTGAAATAATAGTTAATGACGCAGCCATCTAGTTGTGGTGGTTGATACTTTAATGTCCGACATCGACTGTCTCACCAACTCCACTGAACCCCTGGTGACTGCTACTACTACTACTACTTGTTATCTGTGGGAGAGTCTATTAACAATAGAATAGGTATGTTCCATTATAACAGATAGCGTCGACCAGCTATTTTCCACTTCCCTTCGGCCAAAAAATTAAAAAGAAATGAATTCAGGAATGGACAGATCTTAATGAGTTTCCAATTTTTTTTTTATTGTTAGTAAAAGTTTAGGACTTTTTTGTCATTGGATTTGCAACGATTTTAGACTCCATGTGAAATGATGAGAAATATGTCCTCATCTTAGAAATTCAAAAGAGACTATGTATTTCAAATTGATGAAAAAGACAAAAAGCATACACTTTTTTGAAGTGTGTGTCATCTTGTAGAAAACGTATATATGTGAAAGACCTTGCAAGGGTTAATTTGAAAAAGAATTGAACAAGTTTAAATCGATGTTAAAAAAAAAAGAGGGGGTCGATCAATAGAGCAAATTTGAAATGTAGCAAGGTGATTTTCTAATTTTTGTGAATGTAGAAAAATTCTTTCTTAGTTTGACCTTGTTTTAGAATTACTCACACAATTACAATACCAATTCCATTTATTTGAGATTGCCAGAAATTTTGGTTGTCCAGATGGGGATAAGAAGTGGAATCAAACCATTCCCAAATTATTTGTACGTAAGTGAATAAAAGTGAACTCGACCGAATTTAAACAAATAGACCTAATATCAATCAGAGCAGATAAAATACAACACCGTACATTCCTGAAAATCACCGGGAAAATGTAATGAATCTTTAAATAATTCAACATGGAAGAAATCTGTGCAAAACGGCAAGAAAGAATCGTATTGCATTGTTTGCAAATTTTAAGAAAGATCTTTAAGAGTCATGATGTTAAATTTTTTCCTGAATGTAAAATATAGTATAGTTAAGTGCAATTAAAATGGCTGTCCTCGAAATTAGCTCATTTTATTAACAATGCAAATTGTTGTCTAAGATCGCCATGAAAACAATAAAGTTCAACCGTTCTTCTCAAGTGATTGCTGATTCAAAAAATAAATTGTTATCTGTGTAAAATATGGAAGGATTTATATAATGCGCATATTTTAATTACTGTGTAAATTAATTTTCTGTTCATGTTAAAAAAAACGGTAAATGTCATTATGGTTTAGCAATGTGTGTATTTTTACTGAGACAATCATATAAGAATATGTTCATCCTGCTTTTAAACGCAACGTCAACTTCTCATCTCAAATCAATATTAATTCCTTTTTTTCCCCGTCAATAAAACCTTCAAAATACCAAAAAAATATTAAGTGAAAAAGCTAAAATTTTTACCGAGAATCCTTTCCTTGTTTTTCCATTAAAACGGTCATTTTATATTCACCATGAATTCTACAGATAGATTTATAATAAATTTTTCGTCGCCAAATATTAAAACTAAAAGGAAAAAGAAATGCAATTTCTTTTCAGTTGATTACATGAATAGTCTCATTTTTTTAGACCAAAATATGGCATATAATGTGATTGATTTTTAAGGCGTTCACGTAATAATTCCATTTTACCATTATTGAAATCCTGGGCCGAGAATTTAACAAAACTGGGTCATCCAAAGTGTATTATAAATTAAACTTTTTAACAAATTAATCTAAAAAATTTAGAGTCTGAATTCACCATTTTAAACTCGTACTGAAAACATCAGGAGTTTCTTTTGATTTTAGTTCATTTGATTTTGTAGGTTAGGCAAATAATAAAAGAAAAAAAAATAAGACATTAATTTTATTTCTTTTGACAAGACTATTTAAATTCAGGAAACGATAATCGAAATTTCTAAATTTTGATTTTTGAAAGTTAACGAAATAAATTTCTTTATATGGTTCTATAAGCTCAAGATTTTGACCAAAAACAATAAACATTTAAATTCAATGCAACTACAATTTGGCGGATTTTTTTAAGACTAAATTTTTCAACTGGTTGTCAAAATTCATCCATAATAAAAGGTTTTATCTTAATTTTTTGACAGGAAATATATTTGAATTATTTTTTTTTTTTTCTTATGAACCAAATATCTTTTTAAATTCCTAAATTTAACCCTTTTTCCTTTTGCAGGCTTATGAAAAACAATTTTAATAGTTGTATTGTTAGATTCAAATTTGGAAATCAAAATTCCAAATTTGAAAATAGTTCATTGTAAACCAAAATCTGACTTATAGGCAAAAATCCAAATTTGAAATTTTTTATTACAATTTGAAAACCAGATGACCATGAACCTACAGTTTCGTCCAAGAAACGATTTGATTAAAAGGGCATCTTTTTCAAAAAGATCTTATTAGACGTTCAAAAAACAGATAGATTTCTTAAATTTCTTAGAATTTACTATTCATTAAAAACATATCTAAAACGACCCCCCATACTCTACCGGGTTTTCCATGATCCATAACAAACTAAAAAATAAACCCTTCGGGACCTTCTTGCTTTTTTTCAAATTCTTTTGATTTTCCTCTTAGATTTCTTTCACAGAAATTTTCTGAAATGAAGTTTGATTTCTCTTTCTTAGTGAATCAAGGAAGACTTAGCATTGCAAACAAAAAAAAAAAAAGGATCTACAGGCTTCATTCAAAAGAGTGCATCTCTCAGCAGGCTTCATTGAATTTTTAATGAGATTGTCCGATTTATTTTTCAAATCTGTTGCAGGCCTCATCTCAACTTTTGAACTATAGGCTTCATTCAAAACTTTTATACTCTGTAAGATAAATTGAAAATATTAAAGGTACAGTAAATTTTATAAAAATTTGATGGAATAAATTTCGGACCTTCAGGCATTTTATAGGTAATTTGAATTTGACCAGACATTATCTTTAATTTCAAGGCAAAAGATATGGCAATCTTTTGAACATTCTAAATTTTAAAACGATCTCATTTGGTAAATCCATATTAGATTCAAATTTTCTGCGTCATTTAAAGGAAGTTTAAAATTCATTTAAAAGATCTAGGTTGGGATTTTGGTAATTTTTTCTATATATAACCAGACATACAGGCCTTGTTTGTGTGATTCATCAGTCCTGATAAATCGTTTATTATTTCTACATAAAAATTTTCATTCCAATTTCATGCTGACATTACAGATTTAGACAAATTGACCAAAACTTTCTCTTGTTAAACTAATAGGCTTTTTTAATCATAATTTGTCAATAATTAACGTTCAAATTATTCAAATTTTTCTTCTCAGCAATAAAAAAATAATTAAATTTTCAAAAATTCTTTAAGAGTTAAAAAATCGACAAAATAATTGAAATATATTCGAATAAAAAATTTGCAAATTCGTTGCATGGCATATTTATAAAAAAAAATTATATTCAATAAATAATGTATAAGTATTATATTTGAAAAACTCATGGGTCAATTTAAAATTTTTTAGTAATACTAAAACAGTAAAACACTTCCAAACATCCATAGATTTTTTATACAAATTTAGTAATTACTATATATATTAAAATTTAATAAACATGTTTTTTATTGTTCAAATAAATATTTTCTATTAAACTAAAAATGTCTAGTTATGTTCTTAAGGTAATTTCGTCAGATCGGGATTTAAATCTTAAGTTTGAATATTTAGAAAATCACTTGGGTTCTTTACACTTCGTAGTCTGACACGCTAAAATACATATTCAGATCATGGGAAACATCTGTTTTTTTATAATTCTATATACTTGTACCTCCTCCAATGTTCGTGATAACCAGAGATTGGCAGCATATCTCTCATTCCGATCTTGAATGAATATCTGAGTGTGGGGAATAATTATCTGGTTCCATTGAATGTCTCGAAATACAAACTAGTTACATTCCATCACCACCGATCGGACCCCGGACAGCCGCCAGTCACGATGAAAGGATGTCCGCTCGGGGAGGCTATGTGTCTTGAGAGACTGTTGGGTCTTAAAGTCACACCTGAGCAATTGCTAAAGTTGCAAGAAAAATGTAAGGATCCCTGTAGGGTTCCCTGTAAGTACTTGCTATATCTAGTCGGAAGTTAGACATTCTAAGGATGTCGGAAATGGTTTTGGTCTCTACACTAATTAGTTTTTAATTTATTATCATTTGAAGTTAAAACTCGCACATTTTCAACTCCGCCTTAGTCACTATAGATTTCTGAAAATGGATGATCCGCTGGCGTCTAAATGTTAATGACAAAAGAGCCACAGTACATGTACACACCCTCACTGTGTAAATGATAGTAATGGGGTGAAAAAAAATTTAAAACTAACTAGATAACTTCTGAGCATAAAAATATAAATATTTTAAATTTATATATATATATATATATATATTATCGGCTTCAGCAGGAATCGGA